CTACCTGCACGGCGCCAACAACCACTCGACGTCTACCGCCGTCGTTCTTCGCGCTGACACCGGTCGCCTCGCCCTCACCAACAACGTCGTGTGGGTCAACCGTCGGGCAGGGGCGCCGGCGCCGGTGCCGGGTATCGGGAGGGGTTCTTCGGTCACCGCGGCGCCCTCGCCGGCCGCCGCCGTACCTGCGGCCGATGTCGCACCGCCGGCGCCCCCGCCATCAAGGACGTACACCTACATCCCGCCTGCACCAGCGACCACCGCACCGCCGCCGCCCGCTTCCCCGCCGATCTTCGCAGGATCCTCAGCCCCGTCGCCGATCTCCGTAACCCCATCATCAGCCCCACCGTCGACCGCAACCACGCCGCCCCGTTCGCTCCCGAATCTGCCGCCGCCGCCGCCGCCGCAGCCCACCAGCGCCGCCACCCCCGCCCCCCCGCACCCGCCGCTTTCGAAACGAGCCGTGAAGGAGTTGGGACGAAAGAACACGAGGGTACACGGCCGCACGCGCGGCGATGGAGTGCGGTTAATGGAAGAACAACAACAACCGTCGTCCGTTGGCGGCACCGCTCTCCATCACCGTCTTGGTCTGTTAGCGATCATGGACAAGGACTCCCTCATCTCGTCGCTCGCCACCCGGGAGGTCGTGGATCAAGGACGCCGCGACCTACCGACCCCGCCGCAGCTGGATCCGAGTCTTGGAGGCCGTGGAAGCGGGGGGGCTGCGGGAGGTGCGGGGCCCGTGGATTCCGGGGAGGGGGGGAGACCGCAGATGTTCGCAACGATGTTCGCCATCCGCGAGGATGTGGACGCCGCTCTTCGCGCCCCGCGCCTGCCCGACAAGATGCCAGACCTTCCTCACTGCCTCGCCAGCGACCTCCGAGNATCAAGGACGCCGCGACCTACCGACCCCGCCGCAGCTGGATCCGAGTCTTGGAGGCCGTGGAAGCGGGGGGGCTGCGGGAGGTGCGGGGCCCGTGGATTCCGGGGAGGGGGGGAGACCGCAGATGTTCGCAACGATGTTCGCCATCCGCGAGGATGTGGACGCCGCTCTTCGCGCCCCGCGCCTGCCCGACAAGATGCCAGACCTTCCTCACTGCCTCGCCAGCGACCTCCGAGTGCCGAAAACGCTGAAGGAAGCCATGCGGTGTCAACATTCGAAGTTGTGGGATTCGATCGATTTTTTGTCGGTTTGTTGGATGCAGGAACTTTTAGTCCGGTGTAGCAACCAGTAGAGAACGCGATCAATGCCAAGTGGGTCTTTAACTGTAAGGCAGACGAGTACGGATGGCCGACGAAATTCAAGGCAAGACTTGTAGCGCGGGGGGAAATGCAGAGGGCTTCGATTGATTTTGGAGAATTGCTTGCACCCACCGTTTCCGTGTCTAGTGTGCGCTTGTTGGCAGCAATAGCATGTGAGCAGAATCTTGACTTTTGCCATGTCGATATTCAGCAGGCTTTTTTGCAGTCTGAGCTTGATAAGGATGTTTCCATGCGCTTACCGCAGAGGTGTGGTAGGTTATCTGGTCTGATCGTGATGCCGTGCAATAGTCTGCATGGTTTGAAGCAGGCATCACGACATTGGCATGCGCACCTGACGAGGTGTTTGTTACATTGAGATTTTTTGCAGTGTCTGGCAGATGCATGTGTTCTTCGATTATTGGAGGAGGGACATGTGATCATGATCATCGTGGTCCACTTGGATGACAGTTTTGCCGTAGGGCAGAAGGAGAGGTGTGACAAGTTTGGCAGGGATCTCAACGCGATGGTCCCCGTGATGAATCTTGGAGAGTTGAGGTGGTACTCCGCGTGCTTTCACAAGAGAGACGTAGAGAGAGGACTGTTGAGGATTTCGCAGCAGAGGTTTGCCGAAGAGCTGGCTGCAGAGTACGGCATTGAGTGGGGGAGGAGCGTGCCCTTACCTGTGGCTCACCGACTTTGACGAGAACGAAGCGTGCGCTGATGTCCCTCTTCGCGAGTTNTGAATCTTGGAGAGTTGAGGTGGTACTCCGCGTGCTTTCACAAGAGAGACGTAGAGAGAGGACTGTTGAGGATTTCGCAGCAGAGGTTTGCCGAAGAGCTGGCTGCAGAGTACGGCATTGAGTGGGGGAGGAGCGTGCCCTTACCTGTGGCTCACCGACTTTGACGAGAACGAAGCGTGCGCTGATGTCCCTCTTCGCGAGTTGGTAGGATCTCTACTGTGGTTGGCCACTCAAACAAGGCCGGACATCGTGAACGCAGTACGAGCAGTAGCTATGCATCTCCCAAGATGGTGCACTGGAAGGCAGCACTCGGTATTTTAGGGTACGTACGGAGGACGGGTTGGATGAGGATTACATTTGAGAGGGGAGTCTTGACTGGGATTAACATGCAGGTGTTTGGGGACGCCGACTACGCAAGCAAGGCAACAGACCGCAGATCGGTGTCAGGAGGGCTAGTGATGTGTGGGGGAGGGTGTGTGACTTGGTTTTCGAGCACACAGAAGTGCGTTACGTTTTCCACCACGGAAGCAGAGTATGTGGTAATTGCCGATGTCTTGAAGGAGGTGTTGTTCCGGAGGGAGGTGTGACGTTTTATGTTGCCAGATGCAGGTATGCCGTGCATCCCGGTGTTCGAGGATAATCAGGGAGCGATTCAGATTGCGCACAACCCGATCGCGAACTCCAACTCGAAGCACATCGATGTACGGCATCACATTATCAGGGAGCTGGTAGAGAGGAAGGAGATCTCAGTTACTCATGTGCCGACGCAATTCAGCATGCAGATTTCTTGACGAAGGCTGTTTGCAAGGAGTCCATTGCGTTGAACCGTGACTTTGTGATGAACTTGCAGTGAAGGAAGTGTTTTGGGGTCGATTCGTATTCTGTAGCGGAGAGAGAAAGAGAGAGACGAGATTGGACAAGAGAAAGAGAGAGTCTGATGAAGGTTGTAAGGGTGTTGGAGTTGTGTGGGGATTTTTCTTGGTTGTTTTGGAGTGGTTTTGGTTGTGTTCGGATTTTTCTTGATTGTTTCGGAGGAGTTTTGGTTGTGTTGGAATTTTTCTTGTGATTGACTTGGAGAGTTCTTGAATTTTTTAGGGAGGATATTGGATTTGGTTGCTTTGAGAATTTTCATGTTTGTTTTGGAGAGATGGTAAAGAGGAATATGGTTTTTGCCTAAGGAGGGTTCTTAACGATTCTTCGGTTTGTTGGAATATGCCGACTGGCTTTCGGAGAAATCCGAACGGACCGCCTGACGTTTCTTAACGTCAGGCGGTCCATTTTTTGAATTTCTCAGACTTTTCGGTTTGAAAACGTACAGCATTTACACACCACAGCCTTCAGGCAGGCGGCAGCGCCAGCGTACAAACATGCAGAGCGACGAGAACAGCGGACCTACCGGCGGCAGGCCGCCGAGGGGCCATCGCCGACCCGCGAGATACGACAACACAGGCGAAAGTGGTGCTGCCTGTGGTCATGGGTTGGGTCATGGGTTGCAGCAGTCTGCTGCCGCCGTTGATGATGACAACGGCCGCGGCCGCGACCCTCTCCCGAGCCACGCCTCTCGCCGGCTGCGCGTGGCCGCCCCCGCCGCTGCCGTAGAAGCGGAGGGTTCGCGATGCCCCCTTACGATGCTGTCGCAAGCTGCCGGGGTCGCCGGGTTTGCTACCACGACAACCACCGCAGCAGCCATCGCCCGCATCACGGAAAGCGGGTTCATCTCCAGGCTGCGACGCTTTCGCCGCCTTTGCTCCGCGAAATCTGCAGATCCACAGCGCTTTCCGTGACCATCCATGGTCTACAAGCTTACAGGCGACACAAGCAAGCCACCTGGGGACTGTCCCCGAGATCTGGAGTGCGAGAGGGTGCTCAGCGTGCTGGCGACTGCAGTGCAACTCGAGTGCTCCCATTTCGGAGTCATTTCGGAGTTTCTCTTCGGAAAATGCCGAAAATGAAGCGGCGCCCGAAAAATTCCGACGCTTCATTTTCAGCATTTTCCGACAAGAAATCGGCATTTTCCGAAAAAGTAGGGCGCATGTCGGCATATTCCAACAGAACAAATCTCGTTAAGAACCCTCCTAAGCATGACGATGCATACGAACACGGGGGCTATTAGGTATATTGGGGGTACTTGTAGCATAGTATGGCGGGAAAGATCTTAAGTACGTACGTTCGGAAATTGCAGTGATGAGATGCGGAGAAATGAGAAGTTTCTGGGTATTTTCCTTGGAAGTGGGAGGAGTTTGATGGAGGTTCAGAGAGATCCGTTTGGTAATTTGAGCGTGATGAGCGTGACGCGTGCTTGATGCCGTGACAGATTTACGAGCGCGAGCACGCTCCCGAAGAATACAAAACGTTTTCCACCATGTTTTCTACCCATCTACGGCCCGTCATGGCCGAGCTGCTCCACACTCCCAACACACAGAACTGAGCCACCCGAATTGTCGAACATCTTCCGGGAGCGTATGCCATCCTCTCCCTGCTCTTCCCTCCTTGAGCAAGGTCCGGACTTGGTTGGTGGTGTTGCTGCCATAGATGACGATTCTGTCACCACCATAATCCTCACTCACAGTGGTTCGGCCTCTGTTCAGTTTAGATGTGTCGCACTTTGGACAAGGGTTCCCTGCAGTCTTTTAGTTGTGCTTGCTTGCGGGAATCTGTGGAAGCGGCTTCGGCTGCTTCGTCGTTGTCTGCGACACAAACGCAACCTCGCTGTTAGGGTGGTTTCGGCAAATCAGCGCCGCTTCAAACTTCGAGGATTGTCCGTTTGATTGTTCAGTTTTTTCGTAGGAGCCTTCCAACTTCCTATCTCGTTGTTTGGGCATACGTTGTTCAAGATAGTACCATGCACCATTACGTGATCCTTGGCAGAGATAGTTCGATGCAGTTTAGATACCGCTCTCAAGCGGAATTCAGAGTTGAATTCCTTTTTTTTTCGGTTTCGGTTCTCCTCTTTTTTCGGTCATTCGTCTATATCAATCCCATGAGACAGAGCGACCAAGTCACACAAGGACGTCCACGAGAATCGGCTTCCATTAAGTTGGAACCCGCACACAACGGATAGTGGCGCGCGTCCTTGCACATCCCTTGACTTGGGCTGTGTAGCAAGCGCCTCGAATCGTGTGAAAGGCGAAGGTAAGCGTTCACTGATGGAAGAGGTTCTCTGTGCTGAGTGTGTTCGTGGATAACTGGTCTGACAGCTGACAGTCCAGGACCTCCTTTTTGTGGCGGCAGCACTGCCGCGCGCAGTGTGGCATTCTGGAAGCAGTCGAGTCTAGGGCAACGGTAGACCAGAAACACAGGCTTGCGCTGTTGTAGGGCGAGGGTGACTGTTGGACTTCAGAGGTGCTAGAGTGGCGTTGCTGAGAGCCGATGCCTCTGACGGACGTTTTTGGTTTGTTTACAGTAGGCCCCGTAGGTTGAAGCCCAGGATCCCGAACATGTCACCGATCCACGCCTGCTGCTACCTCCTTGCATTGTGTTATGCCTAACAAGCACCAGAATAGGCTGATGAGTGGAAGTATCACTGACTTTCCCATCATTCCATGTGTACACCTGCGCTGCCCCCATGTGTCACGTACCACATATCGTTCGGCACACTCCTGGAAGATGGGCTTTGACGCAGCAACCCTGGCTGTCATCCTAGACAGCTATTGGAAGACGGCGACCCGATTCTTCGACAGGTCGAGGCTGGTGCTACTCTCGATAACATCGACGACTGGATTAGTGGTACGGGAAGATGGGACAGACAGGGCACCCCGCACGAGGCACGATGGTGGAATCAGACGGCCCACACCATCCCATCGGCCACCTTCCGGACCTGGTTCCGTTGCAGGTGCGTTTTTCCACAGCCTTTTTTCGCACGATCAACACTGCTGTTTTTACAGGGTGGGCGGGGTCGATATCGCAAGGGAGCACTACTGCTACTCGCAGCGTGAACATAGGCAATCTCCGCTCAACGGGAGGAAACGAGGTTTTTGGTGATGAGCTGTATGCCTATTGAAAGGAATGCCCGCCCGACGGTGGCTTGCCTCCTAGATGTAGTAGATGTAGATTCTGCCGTAGACACTCTTGTCCACGAGCACGTTGAGATGGGAAGGTTGCTTGTTATTGCAGAAGCGGGTCTGCTACAGGTCTGAGGTGAGGCGGATTGCCCTCAACCTGGGGGCACGCAGATAGCTAAGTCCCGATGTGGTACGTCCTACG